AGAAAATGATATTTATACATTCACTCCACAGAGGATCACTTCCAGATGGTCAACATGCTGGACTGGCGGATTAATCATTATTATTAGCTGACTCAGAATTTTGGGATGACTGCAAAACGTATATAATGATCAAACATTGTAAAAATCACTGATACCTATATTTTTGAATATATCAAGCGAACCATTTATTTGAATTATACAGTTATGCATGCTATTGAAGGTAATTTTCCCACAAGTAACTGCAAAAATTTCACTTGGTCATTGAATACTTTCGTTTTTTGCTGAATATTATAAATTATTAATTGAACCATACACATAAAACAAAAATATATTGCCATAGAATTGGGGAAATGGCTCTAATGTTGGCCTATGGATCTAATATTAGGCTAAAAAGCTGTTATTTATCATTTTTATCTAGATGAACGCATCATTGGGACGGTACTAATGGATATTTTTGGTCACTATTTAAAATTTAGTCGATTGCTAAATTTATATATGGGCCCAAATTAGGGGAATTTAGGCCGACATTACATCCATTTCCCCTAGTAAAACATTGTTAACGAATGCTTCCTTTGGTTAGTTGTTATTATGCCCAAAATATTCTGCGAGATAAAAAAATCTATTTCTAGTTACGTAAAGAATAGCCTTTGTATGCCTCAGGGACAACCTGTATTAGAGCTTCTTTTATTTATTATGTATATCGCATTTTACGATGTTACGATATATGTTTGCCGATGATAAAATACAATGGATAGTCAAAAATATGAAAAATGTCACTTCTCGTCTATTGTAAAATGTTCTTATTTACTGTATGCTGTAGTACGGATTATGATTGGATTTTATTTATCGTTGGGAATTCTTTAAAATATTTGGCGATGATGCCATTCACATTTGTGTCGCTGTAAAATGTTTCAAAACTTTCGAGGGAATTTCTATCTAAATAAATCTTTTTACAAACCAGGGTTCAAAAGTATTCATTAAATTATCATAGCTCACTCATTTATAGAGGTTAGTGACGGGGTCATCATCATCATTTATTTCTATCAAGGGCACACATTCTTTGACTTATTTATTATTTCATTTAATGGTGTTTCAGTCTTATATTTCTATTTGTATTGTTATTGATTGTTCCGGACTGAAGGTAAAGTGTATAGTATTCTCAGGTTATCTGTCTATATAACATTAAAAAATGAATAAGATGACATTACCTAGACCGAATATTATATCCTAACTTTAAACGAAGGCAACTTATCAAGAAAAACAGCATCTCTTAAGCTATCTACGGGGATTCAAAAATACCTCAATGTCATGATAATCTATCAACGAACCAAATGATAACGCATTGTCAGTAACGGCAAGTAGGATGATAAAATGCTCTTGTGATTTTTCAAGAAAAACTTCCTCTACCAATGTAGCTTGATCGGAACGGGGGAAGCAACAACATATTATTGTTTTCAAGCTTCTTCACAACATACGCAGGAGATGATACATGGGAATGTACGTATTCTCGACAGTCTTAGCAGCGTCCGAGCATCCATTAGGATTTTCTCAGGGTCACGCTCACATTTGACGTGTTTGGTTAAATTTATTAGCTACTCTATCCATTCCAATCGACAAAATTATTTAAAACTGTTTGAAAACGATTCTAAAACACTCCAAACTTCTCAGGTGAGTGTGACTCTCTTTTTCTACACAGTTCGAAAAAGTAGTGTATGTTTCTGTTCAGTATGATGCACATATATGTAGCGTCACATATCATGTAAGTTTACATTATATATCATGTAAAGTTCTGAGACATTTCATGCAATGTAGCAAATATTGTATACAAAAGCCCATTACTAAAATAAAAAAAAGAACATTTTTCGTTTATTTTTCCCAGAAAGACATCAATTGTCTGTACAACTTGTACAGATGTCATTTCGATCAGCGTCATACAGTATTAAAACGCCATTTTGAAAAAATAGGTTCGAGTCAAAATGGAATTCTAGCACAAACTTATTACCCCTAGCGAAAAATCAGGCAAAGTGTCATGGAATTCGGAGAGGATAAATTTTGATCGATTCGTTAGTTGACGTGGATTTGCTCTATATAAGAAAAAAAAACTTGTCATTCCGCAGTAAATCACGATTAGCATTATAAAGGATTACATTGTTAGAATATCAATTCAGCTTATCGTTTACCAAACCGAATCCTGCTGCAAACCCAACCCTTTTATCCAACATCCCAGTTCAGCCGGCAGTCTGTTTCCAATTTTTTTCGACATAACTACTTTACCTCGCTAATACACTCTACATTTTTCGGTCTCCAATTTTCTTGCATTGGACCGCAGCTAGGTATATCGCATCCTCGGTTCATGCGGTCTCTACTAATATCCTATGATTTGGGTGTAAGTGCGTATGAAAAATTTACTTTTTCCAAAAATCTCATCGGGACTACCTCTAAACAAAATTTCCAAAATTTTCCGTTAAACAAAAGTTCGTTTGTAGCACCCTTACCTATCATTTGGGGGTGAGCCGGCAGGTTTCCTGACAATGTGCAAATTTGGGCCACCCTAACCTCCATTTACGTTCTCAAATTTCGGTTGATCGGCTTCTGATGACATCAAGCATTCAAGATTGAGTTGGGTGGCCACGTGCCACGAATTATATACCGCAGCCGTAGATATCGGTTGAGGAAGACCTGCAGCTTTTGAATGTTCTCCGATGATCTCGCTGGCGTATAACAACGCAGATCTCACGTTTGAATTGAAAATTCGCATTTTGGTGCGTTGACTTATCTGGTACGATCTCCATACATTTCGTAAACTCGCAGAAGCAGCCCTAGCCTTCTTGGTTCGTGCACCCATGTCGCTCTTGGTCCCGCCGTTTGACGCTATTTGGCTGCCAAGATATTGGAAACTTTCGATTTTCTCCACTGCTTGCCCCGCTACCGTAAAGTTGGAAGGGTTGTCCGTGTTGACGTTGATGGTGAGACCCGCCGCAGAGTAGCGTTCGGTTGAGTCGTTGAGCTTACTCTGCATATCATTTTTTTATTAATTAATTTATTTCTACAGGCTCAATCGAATAAACTTTACAGAGCCGAGTTATCATTTGCATTATACATGTTAAATCTAGAGTTAAAGGAATTGAACCGATTACTCGCGGTCGTCTCGAGGTTAGTGGAGATTTACAATTTTTTGGATGGGGAAAGTACTCTGCATATCAGAACGCCATTGTGCTGATAAAGCAACATCATCAGCCAAACCGAAGTCGTTGGGCTGCTCCAAAGTGACAAGCTGCGCCAAAACTAGAAATTCACGCAGGCCTAAAAGTGCATAACTCTAACGATTCATCGTTGCCGTTAGTTTCGTACGAACTGATCTACACTTATCATCTGACAGTGCCATTGGATCTTGAATCACCGCAACCCTGTCATCAACCTGTTCAACCTGTCACAACAACACACCACCCTGAAGACCCTGACAAATATGCCATCCATTCGTCAAACAATTTACGACTCTGTCCTGACACTCGGTGCAACTGAGCTATCTACCTTTTCTCACATCTGTGGGGATTCAACACCAGCAGTGATTTATTTGAACCTAACTAGGCTGCGTCGCTTCGTCGTTGTTATAAACGATCAGCAGCGAGAAAACATATATAAGTACGTACTTCTATATCATTAAATAAACATTAAGTAGACTTGCAGTCAGGGCGAGCTTCGGTGACCCAAGGTAATTGAATTCTCGCGCGACGCCCTCCAGACGCGTGTGGGCAAACGATTAGATGCGTCAACTGCAGCTGGAATTCTCCGAATCGTTTTTCTGTGAAGTTCAGTTTCAGGTTCAGAAATCTACGCGCACGCCTAATCTGGTTCGAAGAGCAAAGGCACGCGCGTTCCCTCGTTTGTAGTAGCATGTGAGATCACGCGATGTATCGTTTCAATTGTAATTAGTAATTATCAAATACCGACCACGAGAGGAGGGCACCTCGAGCGTAAATCATTTCGAACGTGCTACAAATTGACATGTGAAAACAATTAGGTTTGGTTTTTGGACACTGCCCCACCATCGATAGGTAGTTCGCTTCCTCCAGCTACTTATCTTTTCACTTTCGCGATGTTCACACGGGTGAGAAAGTGCCGACGGGGCTTATCTTTGGATCTTTTGGCGCAAAAATTACAATACAGGAATGCGCATTCCGAAAAGATAGCGGTTATCGAAAGTTTTGACAAATAGTCAATGACGTTCCGCATTAGTTCCGGATATTGTTTGAATCTGAAGTACATCGTCCTAGACCGTATCCCAAAATGTGAACCCATTGCACAACTTACGATCATAGATAGCCGCAATAACAACCAAATAAACAAATAAACGCCTAATAAAAGAAAATCCGATAAACTCTATAACGAGCAATGGCACTATAACTAGCTCCAATACAACTCCAATAAACACGCATATTCATATATTATGGGTATCACGCGCGGGCGCAGATTCCTCACGACAATCAGCGCCGATTGTTTTTTTCTTTTCTTTTGCCTCTCCTTCCCGAACGCCAATTTTGCTTTATCTTTCGTTGTTTCCATTATACGATCGCATTTTTGCAATTTAGAAATTCTTCACTTTTTCCGCCGATGATGCGATGATTTACTTGTGTTTGTGAACGGCTTGCTATTTTGGTATTTTCCGACGTGACGATGATATGGTCTGCGTATCTTTTCATCTTCCAATTATTGGTCCGGCGATTTTCTTTTCCATTCGTTGGAGATTTCGACCGAACCGCTCTATAATCATTACGCTTTTTAATAATGCTAACCAGACAACAACAATCATAACTGAAAATCGCTTAAATCTACACAAGGAACTCGGCAGGAATATTTTTTGGTATCAGACTAATTGCATCTCGAAGGGAACTGGACCTGGTTAAAAAACTAATGCTGCACTAAACTCGACTTTCATTCGTCTGTCTACGCCCACCCACTTCCATTTACAGCACATTTCTAATTTGGTGTGTCGTCTTTCCTCTTGCAGATACTAATTAAAATATCCTCGACACTCGGGCCGAGGTCGACCGGACTGATTTCCACACAGTAGCTGCTATTCTGCCATGCCGGGTAGCCGTTCCAGTAATAACGATACCGAGCACAATAAGTCCCCTAGAGAGAGCGGCGAGGATTCAGAGGATGAAAGTGAAATTCTAGAGGAAAGCCCGTGCGGAAGATGGCTCAAACGGAAAGAAGAGGTAGGTTGCGCATCTAGTTGGAATCTTGCGATCGATTACTTTGAAAAAGCTAGCATAGAAGTAGATTATTTATGTGTGTTTCATGATGACCTACGTGTATTAAAGTCCGTGTTAGGGAACGAATAACGATTGATGACAGGACTCACAGTTCGAAAAAAAATAGTGCGAATTTCTGTTCGGGCCAATGTTTTGCTTAAACTTTCACTACACTTACACTACATACGGATTAGAGGTGGTGATTATTATCAAAAATTACTAAAAAAAAAGCAAAATATTGGCAACAATTTTTGTTAGGATATCCTAGAACAAGGGTGGCCACTGAATCGGAAGAACCGGGAATTAACCGGAATTTTATTAAATTTTATATTATCTAAAAATATTAGCAAAGTCCCAGATTCTGGTATTTTGCATACTTTTGTTAATTTTAGAACCTTAAAATCTTTTATTGTCACAGAATCTAGAAAATTTCTCCATTTCTTGGATATTTAATACACGTCCATAGAGGATGTTTGATCTTACGTACTGTTACACTTTTTTGCCGCATAATCTTGAACAGGTCTCTAAAGGCCCACGCACATTAGATCCGGATCGGACGCGTTGCGGCAAAGTGACAGCTAAATCTATTGTCTAACTGTCAAATTTACGTCAACGCAAAGCAAACGGATCTAATGTGCGTGGCCCTTAATACCAGGATATAAATGTGTTCTCAATCGAAGACTCAGAATCTTGAGAATTTTTGTTAAACCTGGATCTTGAATAACTGTGCACGGAATATTGAAAATTTTCTATAAAATGCGCTTGGAAGATTTCTCGGAAATCTTTTGGTATGCCATTTAAAATTAATAAAATTAGTTTTCTAAAATTTCCTTGAAATTCACCTCAGAATTTCCTTAAAATTCTTCTCAAAATGAATTGCTGGTCGATTTGATGGCTATATGGCGAACATTTTCTACAATCAATCTTGGTCGTTCATACATTTCTTATTAACTACCATACAGGTATCCCTATTGCAGGGCTGGTAGCGCGTCACTTTTTATTGACTTGGTCACTTTTTTCAAGCCAATCACTAAAAAGTCTCCTTTGTTAAGGCCAAGTCACTAAAATAACTTTTTCTTGTAATAAGACGCTACCTAAAGCTATTTTTCCATTGCGTAAAAAATCTGTAAACAAAACAACAACACCAGAAATTGACGCAAACGTTTTTAAGACATAACAATCAGTTTTAAAGAAACAGCTTTACTGCCCATAACTGAAGATATGGCTAATATTCCAAAAACAAAATTCTGTGTAAAAAGGGGTTTAAAAGTTTTAAGCGATAATTGATTGAATCACGAAAATATCGTACACAGCTAAAAAAAGTAGTGTAAATTTCCGTTACTATGATGCACATAAATGGAGCGTCATATATCATACAAATTTAGATTATAGATCGTGTAAATTTATGAAACATGTCATGCAATATCCCATATATTGTATGCAACTGTCCACTTTTGTTTGCAACATTTCTTGCAAGTTGCTAATTTACGTGAAAAGGAAGTTTACATGTATGAATGTTTGCATGCATGGATGTTTACATCGCCAGTAAAATTCAGTATTTTTTGGTGTGTATGTAAAGCTATAATAATCGATAGACGTCCTCTGGAAGCCATGCCGTTATGATCAAAATTTTGAAAAATTTGCTCCCCAAAAGTGGATATTACACATTTCTTTATTTATATAGCATATTAGCCATATCGATTTTTAAATCCGCATTCCTCAATATTCAGTTTTTCAGCCATCTTTTCCAAACGGTCATGCATACAGATCACACCTACCACATGATGCACTGTTTTAAGCGATTTGACATGGGTGGCGTAGTAGCCGTTCACTTTGTCTTGCGACGGCCTAAAAATTGAAGAAGAGAAGTTGAGGAGTATCAAGAGTTTCTGCAAACCGAAGTGAAGAGTTTTTTTTTGATGAATTTACTTCGTGGCACGTCGATAAAACTGAGCGACTAAGAGAGTTATCAAAATCGGATTCTTTCTATTGGACGGGTGAAGAGGAGGAGGAGGAGTTCCATTTCCTTAAGGACGAAGCTCTGAGTGAAGTTATGAAAACGAAAGAATAATGAAATTGCGGGAACATAATGACAGTTATCATTCTGAAAATATGGGGAATTTACTGGAATCTTTAAGAACCTCACAGCAGATCTATTAGCTTAAGAAAAACTACAGGAACTTTTATGAAGTTCCAAGAATTTAAGAGAGTTTCCCCGGTTTCAAGAGAACTTCAGAAAAAAAGAGAACTTGAGGAAAATTGCAGAAATTTTGAAGAAGTTCTAATTACCTCATAAAAGCTAGATCTAGAGATCTTAAGGGCAGTTCCCGTAACTTTAGTTCAGACTTTTGGAGCAGTTTAAGATCTAAAAAAATCGAGAACCCTTAAGATGTTCCGAGAATTTCAGGGGTACAGAGACCTTCAGATAATTTATGAAAGGGGTGACCCCGGCGTAGTGGTTAACATGGATACCTCTCACGCCAAAGTCACGAGTTCAAATCTCACCCCGGACAAGTCACGAATGACCCAAGACTGTTAAAGTGACTATAAAAAAAATGAAATCTTCAGAAATATTTCAGGAACTTAAAAAAAGTCGAGAGCATTTCAGGAAATTTTAAAGGTGCTTACGAGAATTCCATTTATTTCCGAGCAGAACCGAAATCTTATGGAAAATTGTGGAAACTTCAAGGCAATTCAATTAGGGTAGAGCACTTCAGAAAAGATCAATAATATCAATGATTTCACCGTGCACAAATCAATGATTGGTTTGTTCCGATGCGTTATTTCTTTAGCTATAAATCCTATTAGAGCGCATTGTATGAATATTAACGCTCATTGTTCTCAAAACAAAAGAAGCGCTCCTAGCGAATTCCCTTTTTCTACGTTTATTCGTAGGACGAAGAAAATCGAATGGCGTTTCAATGCGTTTGGTTCCACGAAAATTGCGGTAGAAGTTCCAGCAATTTCAGAAAAACATCGAAAGCTTCACAGAAGTGCTGAGATCTTCAGAAATATTTCGAGAACTTCATAAAAGTTTATGGAACTTAAGGTTCAATTTACTTTGATGCATTTTCGAAAAATTCAAAAGCAGTTTTTTTCGACGCATTATTTCAAATTGCTAAAAGCTTGCGTCATTTTGTGTAGAATAGCAAAAGGAATCGAATAGTGCGAGCATTTTGCAATCTGAACTAATGCGTCGAAAAAAACTGCTCTTCAATTTTTCGAAAAGCATCAAAGTAAATTGAACCTTAAAGGAAGATCCTAGAACTTCAGGAACTTTCATGAATATTAGCAAAATCCATAAGCATTTCAAAGAAGTTTAGTAAGCTCCAAAAATAGAAGAAATTTTAAGGGGGGTTAGAGTGATACTCTAAGGAAGCCTTGGCGTGAAACTTCAAAGGCACAAATGCCAGCTTGTTGCACATTTGAAATTGCTACTTTCTGTTTGTAGTAGCACAGCAAACAAGGAGTAGCAATTTCAAATTTGTATGGTTTATGGAAGCTGACATTTGTGCCTTTAAAGTTTCACGCTAAGGCTTCCTTAGAGTATCACCTTAAGTTCCATTAGTTTCAGCAAATTAGTTGGAACTTTCAAGAAATTCCCAGATTTTTAGAGAATTTCAGAGACGTTAAATAAATGTTAATTATTGAGGTCTTCACATAAGTTCAGCAATTCACGGAAGCTTAAAGATTTTTAGGACAGTTCAATTAAACTCAGTGCAACACGACTTTGAAGAAGACAGTTGTTGTTATTCACATCGTCGTTATTGTGCGCTGCTAAATTTGTCGATTTTTTATCACATGGGCTATCGTTATTCGTTTTTTTCCGTTCGGTATACCTGCAATATTGTACTGGTTGTTAGTGGAAAGTGCAGTTCGTTGCGATAATCGTCTAATTAGAGCATGTTTTGTGTTGTGAAAACAGTGAAAAAGTTATCCAATCAGACATATTGTAGTGTATACTGTCTAGCATTGGGCGATCTTGAGAATCCAATTCCTCGTTGCGTATTAGAGCATCTCCACCACTGTTTCTAAATCACTTTTGGAAACTGAGTCAGCATGACTTCCGCCTGTGACCAATGCGCTAAACCAGTTAAAAGCGATGAAGAATCCGTCTCCTGCATGGCTTTTTTGCGACAGGATGATTCACCTAAAGTGCGGGTGCAGTTTCGAACGCCTTTCGATACGGTTGTGTTTTAAGTTTGGCGCTCTGCCTCCCGGACGTTTATACGTGTGGGATTGTTAGTTTTCTCGCTTTCCGGGAAGTTTTAGAATAGAGAAAGAAAACGTGATTCAACATGTTTGCAAGCATCAAAAGAGATGTCGCGATCTGCGTTGTTTGATTTTCTCCCGGACCAGAAATTAGTGGCATCGCGAGTGATAATTTTTAATTTCAGTTTATTTACGAGCTGCAAGGTGCGTGAAAGAGCTCGGCACAATTGGTGTTGATGTTGGCTCACTTCTAACTTTTTTTTTTCTGGTTTTGGAAAGAAATTGATCGAAATTGTACCAAAAGTGCTTCTGAACGTGTTTCGCAGTTGGGTGTGGTGAAAATCGTGAATTCGCGGTTTATGTTCAGTGAAAATTCCGTGTCACAAAATTGCTCACCGAGTTTCCTTTTTTTGCCGTTCGACGACGACGGGTTTGCGAGAGAAAAATAAGCATCGGGAATTTGCTCCCGGATGTATTGATTTGGTGAGTACGTTCCAGTTGAAGATTGTTCTTATACATATCTCGATTACATTTTCGAGCGGACGTTCGGAGAGCTTTAAGATTTAGGCGTTGTTGATGAATCAGATGAATCAAGAGGTATTCGAAACAAAATTGATAAGAAATGTCCATTCAAATCGATTTAATACAGTTGAACAAATTTCAAAACTATATACATACGTGCCAGATTTGGAAATATTATTTTTTGAATCTGGAAGTGTGTTTATGATACCATTATCCATTTGATAAAGGTA